GACTCTTTTTCAGCTGTATGACTAAAAGGCTGGGATGCAAATACTATTTATACACAGAGCCAATGACCATCTTAAGCCCTGACATTACACACCAAGGTTAGCAGGTGTGTATAACCCGCACTGTGTCCCTCCCAAGTGCTGCCCTCTTCATAGTGAAGTAACAGCTGTACCTCCTATTGTTTAAAAATGGGTGGGAACTACCATTCGGCCTTCCACTCTGTAAATACTATACAGAATGAAACTCAAATAGTTGCAAATCAAATCCCCATTAGTATCACTGACCTCATTCTTTACCTGGAAGAATTCTCTCCAGAGATCAGTAATTTAAGTATATCTATCCTTGATAACCCAGTAGACCTGAAAATGAAATAGCTTCTCTAATGTAAGCAACAAGAATCAATAACCATTAAGCACATAAGTATGTTTTATTGTCTGAAGCATATGGGTATACAAGTCACTAGACCAGTTCATTTTGGTAATTTGTAGGCACCATGGACAGGCAGAGTTGGGGTCCTTGCAGAGCATATGGAATAGGCCAGGTGCTCAAGATGTTGTAGCTTTGTAAATGAGACTTCCCTGGGAGAGAACAGTTGAGTGGAGAGTTTTGCCCGGTATGTGAGCATAGGCTACATTAAGGGTTAATTTTGTTCAATAAAACAATTGAATTAGCTATGGCCAAAATGATGCATTTTTTCTGCATGTATCAGCAAAGCATTAAATAACTGTTGCTGTCAAAGTGTGATGAAGCTAAGATGTCATCTTTGCAGATTCAGCTATGATTCACCAAGAATTGGAGAAGGCAGGAAATGAGGGAGTTGTTCCATAGAAATACAGAATCCCAGAATTTTTAGGGTTGGAAGGAACCTCTGGAGATCATCTAGTCCAACCCTCCTGCCAAGGCGGGTCACCTAGAGCAGGTTACCCAGGATTGTGTCCAAGTGGGTTTTGAATTTCTCCAGAGAGGAAGAATCCATAATCTTCCTGGCCAGATCCAGTGATCTGTCAGCCTTAATGTAAAGAAGTTCTTCTTCATGTTGAGGTGGAACTTATTCTGTTTTAGTTTATGGCCTTTACTCCTCCTCCGGTCACTGGGTACCACTGAAAAGAGTCTGGCGCTACTGTCTTGATGCCCGCCTTTGAGATATTTATGTGTATTACTGAGATACCCTCTCAGTCTTCTCTCCTCCAAACTAAACAGGCCCAGGTCCTTCAGTCTCTCCTCGTAAGAGAGAAGTTCCAGAGCCCTAATCATCTTTGTGGCCCTCTGCTGGACCCTCTCCCATAGAGCCTTGTCTTTCTTGAACTGTGGAGACCAGAACTGAATACAATACTCCAGATGTAGTCTCACTGGGCCCAAGGAGAGGGGGAGGATCCCCTCCCCCAACCTGCTGACCACACTCTTCCCGATGCACCCCAGGATACTACTGGCCCTTCTGGATCTCTTCAGATGTTTTCCCAGAGCCCAGGGTTTCACAGAAACCAGAGAAAATCCCGCCTTTAGCGGTTCTATTCAGTTCCATATATCTGTGTGCTGCAGGACATGCCCACAAAATATGTTTGTTTATTTTGCAGCACTGCAAGCCTGCAAAGCTGTACTTAAGAGTGAAAGAGATTCCCCTTCCTTGTGTTCACTCAGAATCCCTTTCTCTTTTTAACTTGCTGGAAGATGGTAACAGGCAGAGATAAAGTGATAGCAATGTGGCCTAGTCTGAAAAGAACCAAGAGAGAGGTATGGATATGAAGAACAGAGTAGAAATTGACTTAACATGGTGTGTTGCACTGAGATTTTGGTGCTGGTTCACTTCAGAGGGGCAACTACCACAATAACTGAGTAAAGAAGCAGGAGAAGCTTTTCAAAATAGATTTCCATAAACATGAAAAAAAAAAATCTGACATCAACTGAGCAAGATGTAATGTGCTGATGTGGGAATGGCTACAAGACAGATATAAATGTGCGTTATGTGGTCATTTTTTTACATCTGTGATACGGGAATTGATATATTGTTAGGCTCTGCAGAGGCTGTAGTCTTCCACAAGCATCACCCAATGCAATAAGTGCTCTGTCTCATCGGACAAAGGAGTGATTGTGGCTGCTTTGCTGTCCTTATTATCACTGTGGGTTATTCTAGCCCTGCTTTGCATACATAAATGCTAAATACCGAAACTGGGATAATTCTTTATTTATCAGAGCATTTTCTTCCACACATTAGTTTGGAAATAATTTTTTCCTATTTTGAAGTTTTTCTAAACCATGAGCATTCTGCTGGTTGATGTATAGAGACCACCAAACTGAATTTTCTGTTACTTTAGTGTGAGCTAAACTAGCAATTTTTTCCAGTTATTTTTTTAACCTGAACAAAATACACTCCTCAGGTGAAGCTGGCAAAATATCTGTGCATCACCACATCTATCTCTCTACTATTCCAAGGCTGGTACTACAAAATGAACGTCACTACTACGCACACTGGGGACTCCCCTGACTTTTGGGATTATGTAACCTTCTGGTTGTCTTAATTGCTACTTTGTTTAAGCAGTAGGAGAAATGAAAACTCTCCAAAATGTCACCCTTAAAAATCTAAAATCAATGTTTACTTACACAAAATTGGCAGCAGCATTTTTATGATGCACAGTCTCTTGCTATTTGGTTCTGGGACACATATCTCTGAGGAGAGAAGTTCTCTTGGAGACTATCAGTTTTTTTGCACTTCATCAGGAGAATATCTGTCTGCAATCCTTGAAATATTTCACAGCCCACCTTAAGACTTACTTTTTAGAAAGTACAAACCATGAAGGTTTTATAGTTTTTATCTTAGCTGTCATATTCTTTCCACTGTCCACTGCAATTATCACATCTACATAAAGCCTAACTTTCTGTAGTTGCATTACTTGTGAGCTTACAGCCAAGTGGTACAAAATAAACTCACTATAATGTTTCCAAAGGCTGATGTAAGTGGTCCTCAATGAAATGGGATAACTTTGTAACATTTTGTCTGTAGGCAGTAGAAAGCATCTTTAAAAACATGCTGCAGTGCCACCAGTCCATGAAAAAGCCAAGTTCAGCATTAGCATGATCATTGTCATGAACATACAGAAATACAAATAGAAAACAAGTATCCAATTCATAGATTGAAATTTAGGTTTACAAGTAAAGTACGATTTCTATTTAAGTGTCCATAAAAGAAAATTGAAGGGAAAGATTAATTTTTTTCTACTAACTGGAGATAGGTCAGATCTAATGCTTGGGTTTTTTAAAGCTAATTTGCTGGAAAACAAGCAGTATCTGCTCTTCTTCCTTTGTGTTATATGTCACTGAGCAGTACCAGGTAATTCCTCTGTTTCTCGTAACATTTCATATGATAGTGAATTTAGACTAGCATTTCTATTAGAAAAAGAACCCCATGACCACAACTGGGAATGCAAAAGTGATGTAAACAGTAGTCAAGCATCCGATTTGGAAAACTGACCCATACAAGCAGCTCTTTACTTATGGTAATCATGTAAGTGATTAACACGATTAGATTAACACAAATGTAAATATAATGCAGATGTAGTTGGCTACAGCTAGCAAAACAGCAATGGTTTGTTATTTTGAATCATTACGCTGACTTGAAAAGAATGAGTCTAGAAACACAGCTCTATTTAAACACACAAACACTGAAAATCTTGTTGCATCAGGAACAGAATTGACCTTGAACTATATATTCCTTAAGTTTCTTGTTCATCATTCATTAAATTAAAAAAAAAAAAGGTAGAAAAATTGTCCTAGTTATCTCCTTTTGATGGCTTGAAGGTAGGAAGGCTCTACAGAGGAATCTGGACAGTCTGCATTGATGGACTGAGGCCAATGGCATGAGGTTCAATAAGGCCAAGTGCTGGGTCCTGCACTTGGGTCACAACAACCCCAGGCAATGCTACAGGCAGAGTGACTGGAGAGCAGCCAGGCAGAAAGGGACCTGGGGGTCCTGGTCAACAGCTGGCTGAACATAAACCAGTAGTGTGTCCAAGTGGTCAAGAAGGCCAATGGCATCCTGGCTTGTGTCAGGACAGAATCAAGCTTGCACCAGGGAAGGTTTAGGTTGGATATTAAGAAAAACATCTTTGCCAAAAGGGTTGTCAAGCATTGGAACAGGCTGCCCAGGTCAGTGGTTCAGTGACCTTCCCTGGAGGTATTTAAAAGATGTGTAGATATGGCACTAAGTACAGGGTTTACTGTTGAGCTTGGCAGTGCTGGGTTAAGGGTTGGACTTTATGATCTTAGAGGTCTTTTCCAACCAAAATGATTCTATGAAGCTATAATTCCATGAGTTAAACTTGAGTGATAACAAATACTGGGGAATAGACAGATGGAAAAGCTGCTCACTTTTTTGGATAACTGTGGGCCACAGTATATATTGTTCCCTGAAAACAAATGGCTTTCATCCCTTTGAAATTTTCTGTAGTGTAACAGTGGATTCTCATACTCCTTAAAAAGATTTAAGATTTCTGGTTTTGATTTTCATTCATATGCAACATTTTTTTTTTGAAAACTTTTCCCATTGTACTCCAGTGCCTATGGATTAATACGGTTAAAGACAAATTGATGAGATTTGAGTCCTGCAAACTGATCAGTGAATCTGGTTTTACTGTTGGATTTTCTTTTATATTCAATTTGGCTTTCACAACAATAGCTGCAACTTCTTGTTATGTCACAAGTTATATACTATAGTGTCATTTGAATGTAACGTGCTATCAACAGCTTGTGGGACACTCAGTGGTCAAAATCAAGGCCAGGAAAGCAGAGTGTATCATGTCAGCAGTTCTTAGAACAATAATAAATATGTATGTTGGAGGTTTTTGCATGCAGGTATCTCAAACTAGCTGAAAGAGAACAGAATTTCATAACTAAACTAAGACTTAGAGCCAGGGTTTGTGAATGAACGTCACAATCCTCTGCTCTTCCGGTAATGACAAGAAGAAATCCAGAAAAGATGGTGGAAGTGAAGTTATCTATAAACACTTACTGCAAGGAAGATCTGAAGAGAACTGTGAGCCACCTCTATGTACTGATATTCAAGAAAACACCCCGAGACAGTGATATAACGATGATCCTCTGGTGCCCAGTCTGGTGCTGGGGTTACTGAGGTCACGGTGCAGCCTGGCCCATTCTCCATCCACCAAGAACGATGCATTGAGATATTAAAGGTCAGAATGAGGTCTGTTTCCTGCAAAAGAACAAGTGAAGAATCAATGCATGGGGATGGTACTCTGATCTCAAATGCCTCAGCAAGAGATTTCACAGCATGCATAAAGAAGCAAAGAGCAGTGATAAAACTGCACTGTCACATAAAAGCTAGTGGAGCTTGCCTGCTGCAAGCAGAAGTAGCTGTACCTTGGCAGGCAGAAATTCTTTAGAGCAGAAAAATAATCCTGCAAGCCAGAATCTCTTCCTAGACATTATGGTAGCCTAGATTATAGCAGTAATTTCTGTTACATCACCCATTTTCTTGTAGATACCATAAGGATTGATGGATATGCACACCTACATAGCAACCCTCCTCTGCTCAGTTCCTAGAAATATGGCCTATGTTTTGTTGGTCTGATGTACCAAACGATACAAAAATCCTAACATATCAAAATTTCATAGACTTTGATATGCATGGAACATCTGCAGGGAGTTTTGTCTAATGGACCTGTGGTAGTCCTACTGAAATATTGGAGAAGATGTAAAAAAGGATTTTGTGCATTTTCTTACAGGCCAAAGCTCTTTGCAATGCTTCTCTCAGATTTCTAATTTCCTAGGAACATGTAAGGGAATAGCTAGTGAGAGTTGCCTTCTCTAAAGATTGCTTGGCTTGTTAAAAAGCAGGGGCAGAGGCATGCAACCTTTAACTCCCATACAGCTAGTGCGATGGAGTAACTAGTCAGCCATGCTTTCCATTAAGATTGCATTTATAAATAGTTCATAAAGGATTAATACATTATTAATATACATCATAAACAATACTACTAATATTACTTTCATAAATTATACGTGGTTGCACATTACTTGAGGGTGTTACACATAGTTATAACAAAACTATGGACTCTGTGGATTCTGTAATAGCCTACAGTGTTTACCAACACTTTATGAATAATTTATAACTGTAACCTCATTGTAAAGTGTGACTATCTAGTCTATGTACATGTGTTCAGTCATGCAAAAAAAAAAATTGCTTTTAAGTAATGTCTTTGCAAAGCCAAACTCTCACCACACCTAACCTACATTTTTTTCAGCCTGTTGATGTCATTAATAATTAAGATTCTCATAAAGATTTTAAAATGTAACTATTTAATTAAGTTTACTGTGCCAAAAGGAAAAGAATGCCATTCTGTAGCAGATACACTATGTCCACATTTCCCTTTCTTCAAAATAGTAATTTTTTCAGTTCCACCTATTTTCCATTTTTGCACTAACTCATAAAAAGGCAGCTCCACCCAAAGAGGTTTTGGAAAATGTCACACGTCACTTGATCTGTGATTACTCTAGACACTGAAATGGAGCTGAATGTTTTTTCTCGAAGTTGCAGTTCTTCACCAAAAGTACAGAAATTTTGTACATTAAAAAAAAATCAATTACTGCCCTGCATAAGCACGCACAGCTAGCAGATGGCAGGAAGGGCCTTAAATATGCTTGTGATGAATAATTACCCTCCGTTCTCACAACAGTCCAACCCAGCAAATAATAAACTGTATGAGAAAATGTAAAATGCTTCGTATGAATTCAGTCAGGTGATTAACTTCAAGCATTTGAAGGTAATCAAAGCAACAGTGAATATATAAACTACACAAATTTTTCCCAAATATATATATTTATGTATGGCTGTAAGTCTTCATCCCCAACAAACCTCTCCGTTCTCTGGAACCCTATCTATGAAAGCTGTGGACACTGGAAATGTCTGCCATGTGATTCTTGGAAATCAATACTTTTACCTTATACCTAAGCCAGAAAATTATTTTGTTTCTGGAGTCAGGGCCCCTCAAGTAGAACACTAGTCTTCTTACCTGGAGTAAGAAGTTAAAGAATGGGTATCTTCAAAGTAACTTTTCTTAAAGTACCATATTTATTCCTAAATAACTAAAATTGGAATCCATCATGTTATTGTCAGAAGAACTTTCAGCCATTCTAGTTACCATGGAAAATTCTTAACCTCTAGTCTCTTATCAGAGATGTAGCACAAATGAATAGAACTCATTATCTGTCTCTATTTTATCACTTGCAATACCTTCAGAAGAATCATGATGGACTAAAAATATTTTATGAAGTGCAGAGAAGGCATGAAAAATGTATTCCTTGAAAAAGAATGGGATAAACTGGCTTGCAGGAATTGAGTGTTTGTTATGCATCTGCCAGATGCAGAGAAAATGGATCAGGAGGAGCTAAACATAAAAATTCAAAACTGGGCTCTGTGGGTAGAAGATCATTGCCCTAGAGGCAATTATTTTTGCTTACAAAGGGTACAGTAATCCAAACCTTTACAAGTCAAAAGCACATGTAAATCTCCAAGTTACACGGGGAAATATAATCACATATTCAAATATTTATAATTACATATGTAAATAAAACTTCACAAAATCTAGCTTTCTTCCATCCCTGAATTTATCCCCAGGTGATTTTCTGAAATAATTTGTAATATTTACAAAATTCCTTTGCTCTCAAATCATCTTTTGGCAGTTAAGTTGAATGTTGTGATTAGGACTAAATAATCTTGTTTTGATCAGAAATAGTCTTTGAATGCTTATTAGTGAAAAAATTACAGATCTTTATCAGATCTATATTCTATTTCTTACTCTGAATAATCAGAAAAAGGCTGTGTAGTTTCCCTTGGTCATAAAATAGACTTAATATTTGGCACAGAAATATTATATTCCTTAACTCTTTATAATAATAAAATAAATCCTACTGAAAGCCCCAACTTCAAATCTTAAAGAACTTTGAATAATGTGGTTGAGAAGGCTTTCAAGGAGCAGTTATCACATATTGAACCAGTTAACAAAAAAAGGTCAACATCAGAAAGCAAAACGATAAGCAGATATGAAGTCTGGTTCTGGTAAGATTAGACATCATCCATGGCTCAGGTCCAACTTGGATGGATTAAGAATGATAATGAAATAAGATTTTGACAAGTCAACATGTAAGTTAGACTCTGCAAATTCCTATCCCCAAAATATAAGGGACGAGAATAAATATAGAAGGAGCCTATTAACTACAAAGTCAGCTGCTGCACAGTTAAATCTTCTCAGGTATAAATTCTTCTGCACTTTGAACTTGTCTATAACCTTCCAGCCATGTTTCTCTACATGTAACCATATTAGCAGAGCAGTTCCTGTTACTCAGTATTGAAGGTCATCTAGCTTACGAAAATGTTTCTCTTAGTGAGAAAACTGTTAAAGACTTGAATCCCCTTGTAGAACTGTGGAAGCCATCAAGGGGATGATGTATCTATCATTAACATCTCTTATACTGACAGCATTTAGAGCTATTTTTGGACAAACTCCACTTGCTATTTACTTTGTTCCCTGTTTGAATACAGTTTTACTGGACATAGACAAAGTCTACACCAGAGTCTGCAGATTTACTATACTCTCCAGTGTGTTTGCTGTCTGTTTTCTTTCCAACATCTGTGGCTCAAACTTTGTTCAGAGAAATGCAGAGAAATGGTCTGATAAGCCTTGAAGCTATAAAAACTAACAAGAATTGTTGATACACATTGGGTAAGCCAATATGTTGTTGTTCACAGACTGTATGTCAAGGAAGATTTCATTATCCTAAATTCAACAAACAGCTGCTTTCTTCGTGGACACAGAAATACATCTGTATTATTGCCAATCACTGTTCTTCTTTGTAAATTCGGTTGGTATTTGTAAAGCTTGTTAATGAAAATTGGTGCATTAAAGTAGATTTTGCTATTAATCAAAGAGGAAAAAGACAGGAAAATATTTAATAGGACATCTTTGCTGACATTCTGAAGACGTGCTGGTATTTGTAGTGGTCAGTAGAAGTACTGCCAGATAAGGCAAAGCCTGGACTTTGGAGGTCTTGGAGACACAGATCTCAGAGATTAGGATCTGAGACATCTTCAAATTAAGTCTGTAATTTTATTTCAGTTTAGTTTGTAAAAACTGTTGAGCTCTGATGGTTTTGTGCCTGTGTTTAACACAGTAGATAACAACTTTTGCTGGGGTTAACTGCACAGTACATAACATTTTCTGGCTGAGGACAGCTGAGGACAGAGCATGGCAGCAAAATCTTTGTAAGAGATTCCAGAAAAAGAATACAAGCTTCTCTGTAATAAGAAGCATCAGGAGTACAGCAGTGCTTAAAAGGAAAATAGCTCTGTGTGCATTGTATTAGCATTAGCACATATTAGTAAGTATCCTATGTCTATGCAGTAATTACACTATATTGCTGTTTCAATGAGTTTTGTTGGTTGCACCTTAGAGAAGCTGATTCCAAACAGTGCTGTGAGGAAAAAGAGTTAGCAATGGTTCAGAGTGATTCTCCTTAAATGTCCAGGAGATCTCACTGACTCAGGGGAGTTGAATTGTACTGACTTCAATGGTTGTGGCTGGCTGTGTCATGGGAAATATTTCTTCCATTTTTCTAATTGGAATTGCTGAAATCTCTGCAAACCTGCCAAGCTTTTATATAACTTTTGTCAAATACAACCATGTAACCACTTGTTTCATTTATCAAACTCAAACTAGCAAGAACAGGCTGCTTGGAGACTGGATGATCACATAAGGTTTCAGTGATAAAAGATCTGAGTCTGAAAGCATTTGTAGTTCTGGATGCCTCAGTTGCACAGAGGCCTCTACAGGCATTTTTTTCTTCTGTTATCTCATTTATTCCACTAAAACTAACTCCCACCAGGCTGTACCATTTTCTCATGCAAGCAGACCTGTTCCTGTCTAAAGAAAAAATCTGTCCTCATTGAAGAGCCAAAACAGAGCTTGTCAGCTGTGGGGTTTTTTTTCCTTTCTCTCTCTCTCTTTTTTTTTTTTTAAATTCACAGTTGATATACAGGAAATAATTATTGTATAATTACGTAGGGACCATGGATATTTAAAGTTTAGCTTTTTTCTTTTCTGTTGCAACTGAACTGATTTTTTAGTCTCCCCAATTTTTGTATGTGTGTAATGCTTTCCCTTTCATTTGAATTTTTTTCAGTAACCTAGAATCACA